AACTACTCAGAACACCCTAGCAACCACATAGCAACATATGAAAAACACTAAAAACACCTTACAAACAACATACTCAGAATACCCTAGCAACAAAAACTACCCAGAACATCCTAGCAACATAAAACCTACCCAGAACAACCTAGCAACCACATAGCAACATAAAAAACTACTCAGAACAACCTAAAAACTACCCAGAACAACTTAGCAACTGCATAGCAACATAAAAACTACTCTGAACACCCTAGCAACCACATAGCAACATAAAAACTATTCAGAACAACCTAGCAACCACATAGCAACATAAAAACTACTCAGAACACGCTAGCAACTACATATCAACAACTCAGAACACCCTAGCAACTGCATAGCAACACCCTGCCTACCATGATGCATTGTGGAAATATCTAGTTATTTTTAATGATTTATGGAAGTTTTTTGTTTGATGCGTTACAGATACTAAGCTGGACAAAAGAATTTGACAAGAATACGACATGTTAAAGCATATAGAAGTTAGCTGTCATCTCACCAGGTGTTGTGTTGTGTCCTGTTGTCCAGGTAGGGGTGGTCCAGTACGGTGCGAGAGTGGTGAACGAGTTTCGGCTGGATGATTTCCGTACGGTTGAGGAGGTTGTCGAGGCAGCTAAGAATGTGGACCAGCGAGGCGGAGAGGAAACACGCACAGCTCTCGCAATCAGTGAGGCTCGGTACAGTGGCGTGTTTGTCTGTCTGCCGTTCATTGGAAATAAGGCTAATCTATAGAAGCTTATTTCTGCAATGGAATAAAAAAAAATTGCATCATCTCAGAATTTTTTTCTTAGAATTGTGAGTTTATATCTCTCAATTGTCAGTTTACATCTAGACTAAACCTCATTTTACAACTCACAATTCGGTTTTTTTTTTAGAAGTCCAAATTGTGAGATGTAAACTTGTAATTCTGAGAAATAAAGTCAGAATTGTGAGACATAAACTCACAATTGCAAATATATATATTTGTATTCTGTGACAGAAATAAGCTTCCACACAACTCAAATGAGTCAAGATGATTTGCATTTCCATAAATCACACTAAAATGGAGAATAATTTAGGAAGAACTCCTCAACTACATACATTATTTAAAAAAATGTAATCCCTTTGTATGGATGAATTTAATTATCAAAGCTCAACTAGAATAAAAACAGCTGAAACAATGTGTGATTCTCATTTCAATGAAATGTACAGTTCTGGGTAATAACTGAGTACATGTAATCTGGATGACCTAAACAGATTCCAAAAATTAAGTACTTGTAATTAGATTATATTATTTATTTTAATTTGACATTTTTATGATTTAATAAATTAGTAGCTTTTCATTAAACTTCCTTCATGAACCCCAGCTTAGGAAACCGTGACGAGATGTAATGTTTAATGCACTTCATGATGTTAATAACAACGAATGGAATATATTTTCTTTCTTTTTTTGTATTTTTATATCAATATAGTATAAAATTGTCCTATTTAAATCAATGTGATAAACGAGTTAGGTCAAAAGTAATCTAAAAGTAGTCCGATTATATTACCTAAAATGTGTAGAGTAATGGATTGTTACAATATTCGTCATGTAATTTGGAATCAGTAACGGACTACAATTCGTAAGTAATCAACCCATGTCTGTGTACTGTATTTATAACAGAACTCAAGCATTCAAACATGGAGGACGTCCAGACGCCAAGAAAGTCATGATTGTCATCACTGACGGAGAATCGCACGACAGCCCAAACCTTCGGAAAGCCGTGGAGGAAAGTGAGAAGGATAATATCACCTTGTACGGTATTGCGGTGAGTTACTGCCTATTTCCAGTAGAATCCTCCAGATGTGTTCTTCAGGTTTACTTTGCTCCGTCGGTCATGTGACTCAAATTCTTGAGTTGTTTTCGAACAGGTGAACATATAGTTCAGCTATTCCAATGCCGTTCCAGGTTCTTGGCTACTATAATCGGCGAGGGATCAATCCTGAAGCTTTTCTGAGGGAAATCAAGTTCATCGCCACCGACCCCGAGGAGCACTTCTTCAGCGTCACCGACGAGTCTGCCTTGAAGGATATCGTCGATGCTCTGGGAGAGAAGATCTTCAGCTTGGAGGGTATGACCTTGAGTGAGAAACATAATCATAATCCCATGCTTAAACCATATCTAGAGACCAGAATATCACAGAAACCGACCAGAACACCCTAGCAACCACATAGCAACATTTAAAACCACTCAGAACTCCTTCGCAACAAAAAACACTTAGAACACTCTGAAAACCACATAGCTACATAAAGACCACTCAGAACACCCTAGCAACCGCATAGCAACATTTAAAACCACTCAGAACTCCTTCGCAACAAAAAACACTTAGAACACTCTGAAAACCACATAGCTACATAAAGACCACTCAGAACACCCTAGCAACTGCATAGCAACATAAAAACAACCCAGAAGACCTTAGAAACCACATATCAACATCAAAAACCACTCCGAATGCCTTAGCAACCGCACAGTAACATCTAAAACCACTCCAAACAGCCTAGCAACTGCATAGTATAATAAACACCTTAGCAACCATATAGCATTAACACCACTCAAAACAACCTAGCAACTGCATAGGAATATGCTAAACGCACTCAGAACACCTTAGCAACCATATGGCAACATAAACACCACTCAGAACACCCCAGCAACTGCATACATAGCAACATAAAAAAACATTCTGAACACCTTAGCAACCACACAGTAACATCTAAAAAACACACCTTAGCAACCACATAACAACCTCTAAAACTACTCAGAGCACCTTAGCAACCACATAACAACCTCTAAAACTACCCAGAACACCGTAGCAACCACATAGCAACATAAAAAGAACACCTTAGCAACCACATAGCGACCTCTACAACCACTCAGAACACCCCAGCAACTGCATAGCAACATAAAAAAAACATTCTGAACACTTTAGCAACCACACAGTAACATCTAAAAACACACCTTAGCAACCACATAACAACCTCTAAAACTACTTAGAGCACCTTAGCAACCACATAACAACCTCTAAAACTACCCAGAACACCGTAGCAACCACATAGCAACATAAAAACCACTCAGGACACCTTTGCAACCACATAGCAACCTCTAAGACTACTCAGAACACCCTGGCAACCGCATAGCAACATAAAAAACACCTTAGCAACCACATAGCAACCTCTAAAACTACTCAGAACACCCTAGCAACCGCATAGCAACATAAAAACCACTCAGAACACCTTAGCAACCACATAGCAACCTCTAAGACTACTCAGAACACCCTGGCAACCGCATAGCAACATAAAAAACACCTTAGCAACCACATAGCAACCTCTGCAACCACATAGCTACCTCTACAACCACTCAGAACACCCTAACAACGGCATAGAAACAAAAAGACAACTCAGAACACCTTAGCAACCACATATCAAATCTAAAACCACTTAGAACACCCTAGAAACCGCATAGCAACATAAAAACCACTCACACCACTCTAGAAACCAAATAGCAGCATGCTAAAAAGAACACCTTAAAAATCACTTAGCAATATCTAAAACTACTCAGAATACCCTAACAACCACATAGCAAAATAAAAACCACTCAGAACACCCTAGCAACTGCATAGCAACTGCCTGCTTACCATACACAACACATTAGCATCTCTGCAGTAAATTTTGCATAGCAAAACACTAGTTACCACCAAAATCTTTTTTTTTTTCTTTACTTTTCTGCAGGCACCAACCAGAATGGCACGGCCTTTGGTTTGCAGATGTCTCAAGCTGGATTCTCTTCACATATCGTGGAGGTGAGTGCATCTCCATCCGTTCCAAGCAGAAGAAATATAAATATTGATACCAGAGCTAATGTGCAGAGAATTGTATTACGTACTCAGCGGCGAGGTGCATGAAATGCTGTTATTTTGCTCTTTACACTCTGTGATTGAGTTTGACGCTCTTCCATTAGCCTGGAGCAGAAACTACGGCATCAGTCAAAATAAAGAGTCATTGGAAGAATGATTTGTTTACCACTCAGTGCCCATGGGAAAACAAACTTGAGGTACCGTACGTACCTTTTAAGGCCCGACAGAAGCATGAAACACCACTCTTTCAATTAAAATAAGGCTTGTTTATGTTTGAAGCTGTTCCACATGCTGTGAGCGGCATGAAAACAGTTCAGACCGTCTTCTGAGGGAAGGACTATTTTTCACGCCTTCCCTCTCGGTTGGAGTAATCCCATGCAGGAGAGGGGTTTGGGGCTCCTTTCGTGTTAAACGAAGGACAACTTATCCAAAGAAAAATACAATTTTTTCATAACGTTCACTGTTGGATTCCAGGAGCTGCTCTTGACAGCGGCAATACGCGATGGGAGATGACGTCTCGGAAAGTGTTTTTTTTTATTCTTGACTTCTCCGAGGAAACGAGGTCCAGAGAACACATATGGTTTTGTTGAATTAGGCTCCTTGAGCGAGGAACCTCACACAAACACCCTCACACACGTGCCCTTGTGTTTTATGTGTACATGTGACTGTATTTGTAAAGGCCTTATTTGCTTGTGGCTGCAAATATTTTTAAAGGAATGACTTTGCTTTGTTTTATAAGGAAAAGAGTTTGGCGTTCATCAAGCATGCAGTAAATAAAAAACCTAATCAGATGGAAATAAAGCGTTTGGAAGTTGGTTTATTAGCTTGGGCCGCTGACACGAACATGGCATACTAGATTTCACTGCTTTTGTGTTGTAAAGACTTAAAGAGCTGCCAGATCTAGAAAAAAACGCATACACTCTGTTCCAAAACCTTGTGGTCAAATGTCTACATTGGTGAAATACATGAAATTGAATAGAATCGAAAACGAAAATAAAATCTCAAAAGTAACTGTTTTGGATAACTCAAAAGGCCTTGTAAGCTATACAAATAGCAATTACAGTCGATTCCAATAGAGTTTGACATTTGCACACAACGTGATACTTAAAGCACCAAAATCCAAAGAAAACACAAATATTAAGTTAATTTATAGTTAACATTTACTTCACATCATCTACATCTCTGAGCCTGCAATGCATTCTGGGATTGACTTTGCCACCAATGATTTTGCAGCTTCAGATTTTGGATAAAAGAAGTATCTTAGAAGGCGGCATAATAGTGCTACCTTTTATATAAAGGCAGGCACCACCTACAGTATATATATATATATATATATATATATATATATAACCTTTAATCTACTCCAAGCATTATCAGTTTTTGTGGTGATGCTCAAAATGCTGAAATGGATCCATGTTCGTGTTCATGTTGATGTCAATAAAATATAATCACTATTAATTACCCTCTTTACGCTCCAGCTAAATATTAAAGAGCAAAGAAAGAGCGAACAGCCACAATATCCCAACTAACTTTATCTCTGAAACCACTGCCAATTTGTTTAGACATGAATGGTTTTTACTTGTCAGAAACTTGTTATTTACAACTTTGCATCTACCATTTCTAGGTGTGTTTTCCTCAAATAATCCACACAATTTGAGGCATCATTCATTTCTTTAGCACAAAAGATACTGAAGTTTAATACTCCGGATTAAGGGTTTGTTCAGGGGTTTGCCTCTGCAAGCACTGTTAATAAAACACGAATGGAACAACGCACAGAGTGTATTGGAGAGAGTTTATTATGCAAATGTGCCATGGAACTCTGTCAAAGTGTCCACGTCGACACTGCATGAGGAAAACTTTGGCAGTGAACGCAGCGAGTTTTAGGCTTCCAGTCAGGCTCTCGCTCACATGCATCCAGGATATCAAAGCTGGACACCTTTCTGTCCGGTTCGTCCCAAAAGGGTGGTCCAGATCCCTGATATGACCACCGTTTGTACTGAAAATATCTTTCCTGTGCATTAAACTGACCAAGTCTTCCACTTGGAGAATATGTTTTGTTGTGTAGTAGATATTATTAGTGGTGTTCACCAAGCCAATTGTCATTACAGAGCTGTTCAGTTTACAGTCCAAACGGCACTGTGGTTAATATTAATTCATAAGACTTTCATGATTTGTTCTATACCACATAAGCGACCACAAACGTGAAGCCACTGTGGCCCCTATATTGCAACTTGTTGGAAATTTGTTCAAAACACGGTTGATTTAAAATGTACGTTTGAGGTACGATGCAGTAATGATTCAAAAATGGGCAAAACAATACAATCAAAAAGGGGAAAATTTAGCTGTTTTTTTCAGTAAGCAATCACATAATTGAAATAAAGCTGCAATCAAAAAATAGTACAGGAAAAACAAACTTAAGAAAAACTATGTTCATCATTTTAATTTTAGTTTTAGTAATTTGGCTTTTTTAAAATGTCCATATTTTATTAACTCTTATTTTTTATGTACCTCGACATAAACTAAACAAAAATGTGACATTTTGCCTGGGCAACTAACAGAATTACGCTGAAGTACTAAAATTACTAAAAACAGAATATAAAAAACGAATTAATGACAAAAGGACATAACAAAATAACTAACATGAAAACTGAACATATAAAAATAAACGCTAATGCAAAATATTAAAAAAATACTGTAGATGCATATACATTTCTCTAAAACAACACAATGCAACTCTATAGAAACCCAGTAAAACCATCCAGAGCACTTTAGCAACTGCATTGCAATGCCCTGGCAACAACAAACCTACAACTTTCTTGCATTGGGCCATTGAGTTGTGCATGGGTTACTCACTTACTTTAGTTAGTTACACTAGTACTGTACATTCAGTCTGACTAGCAGAACTGGAATAGGACTACAGTATGACCGAGTGTCGTGTATAGTGGTGGTATTGGTCAGGAATGGGCAGTTCATTATGAGTTTGAATGCTAAGTCCCAGATGTTAATGCAGTGCAGAGTTTTGGCAGGAGCTCTAGGATCGGTGCGGGAGAGGTTTGGCAAAACTCTCTGTTTGCATTCTCTATACCACTGAAGTCGCTGCCAGGCCGTTTGTCATGATCCTATAACACTCATTGAGTCCTCACTGCATGAACCCAGAACTCTGATGCAACACCGTGTGTGCATTTCCCTTTCAAAAACGTACACTGGTTTATGGTAAAAGTAAATGAAAAACTAAAGGTGCAAACCATTCTTTCAAAGGACGGGATTCTGGTTGGTGCCGTCGGGGCGTATGATTGGAACGGAGCTGTTCTTATGGAGACCCGTCATGGTAAAGTCATCCCAGCCAAGTCCTCTTACATGAAAGAGTTCCCAGAGGAACTGAAGAACCACGGAGCGTATCTGGGTAAGAAAATTAAACCTAATCAAGATCTGATTCCATGACTGACAAAAATGAATAGCCTACTGACCCTCGAGTTCAAAAACGACTGACTGAACCTAAAAGAAATGGTTAAGAATGTTCACTCTATTCTTTACCAGTTTCATTTATGCATGCATATATTAAAACCCACCAAATTAAGATGCATTGCACCAGATTGGATTGGATTGGGTTTTGCATGCATTACAATCAAAAATGACCCACTAACTTTGAATAGACGGAAGCATTAGGTATGCAAAGGAACATGTTCAGTGAATAAAGACATAAATTTCAGTCTGTTTCTCACTCAAGGTATGGACCAATTTTGAGGCATTTAAGGCTACTTAACTAGCTTAACTGGAAACCAGACTAGTATGGAAATACATGCAAGTCTCATAACTAGTCTAATCTTGAAAACTATATTAATGCTTCTTTGAATTGTGCATTTTCTCCAAGCCAGCAGGCAATATTTATCATATTTATGTATAATGTATAAATTTGACGCTTGTTTCTAGGGTACATGGTGTCATCGGTGGTCTCGGCTCAACATGGTCAGCTGTATGTCGCTGGAGCCCCTCGATTTAACCACACGGGGAAGGTCATCATCTTCACGCTGACCAACAGCGGCAACCTCACCATACTGTACTCGCTCTACGGACAGCAGGTAAAACAAGTACATACTACACTTCCATGTTTTAAAGAACTACTGTATGTGGTACTACAAAGTACTTCCAAGAATACCATGGTACGAACCGTGGCAGTGCTCAACAATGAGGCTTACTACAAATTAAAAGCCTTGTAACTGTTTTTGCAAAGAAATAAGCATCTGCCAAGCATTGCCAAGATTTCTAGTGTGCACACTTGAGACACTACAATAAATATAGCGATGGTGCAAGATGGCCAAAATGTACCTTTTCTACAAAATACAAGATTTAAAACTCTACTTCTACAAAATTATTAATAAAGTATGTGCAACATGTGCTTTGCTTTTTTATGTTTTTTTAAGACCAGGTAAAGAAAATGTAAGGAATAAATTTAAGGGAACACAATATGTCAATATATTCTTTACATTTTAATGTCTACTGAGCATACAATGCATTGTATTAGCAACAATTTTTGAATATACAAGTTTGAAAATACAACTTCCAATCTAACTCCATTAAAATAAATAAATAAATAATAAATCATTTGACATTTACTGTACCTTCTGATCACACTGCAAAAAAACGGATTTTCTTCCTCAGTATTTTAGTCGTATTCCAGTGCAAATATCTTAAAATATTCTTCAATCAAGATATATTTACTTAAGCAAAATGATATAGGTTAAAAAGTCTTGTTTTCTGAGAAATGTATCAAAATGAAGCGAGTTTCTGAATAAAAACAAATTTCTGGGTCAAAGATGAGACACATTTTGGTGACTGCATTCAATTAAATTTACATAAGTGATAGTATATTCATAGAAAGCATATTAAATGGAAGTAAAGTGTCTACTTTAATGTTTCAAATAAAACATCAAATAATGTTCCGTCTTCATTCAGTGTAACAGATATATTTATCTAAAAACGAAACAACATATTTATTCTGACCTGTACTTATTAAAATATTTATAAAAGAATAAGGGATCATACTAAATTTTATTATATTTTAAATGACTAAAAACGTCTTGCTGACAAATGGGTAAAACCTAGTGTTTTGAAGAATAGTGATTTAAAAAGACAATTAATTAGTTTTTGCACTGTGATCCTTAAATAACATTTTAGTCTTTTAATGTCATCTAATGATTCTTGTTCTAAATATGCCTGACAAGATTGTTTGGCATACAAACTATTGATAGACATTTTTTTTTCCGCAGTGCATATAATATTTAATACCATAACTTCATAAATTTAAGATTTCTACACCTACATACGGCCTTTTCTGACTCGTGAGCCCACGAGTCAGTGCAAAAATATGTTCTTCTCCATCATTTGATAAATCACTCCTGCCATTATCAGAACAAAACATCCACATTTGCCTCTTTTAAACAAAATTCCATTTATGGCCTGCTTTCCACGGATGGTAAATTGCACCATGGAAATAGTGGTCTTGTCTATGATCTTTAATAGGACTAATTTGCATGAAATAGTGCATGTAAAAGTGCCGCAGCTGTTCAGTGAGTGTTGTAGTGTGCCTAAACGGTGAACGTTTCCCCTGACTGCTTCCTTAATCCATCTGTCTGCATTTTTCCATCATACCTTCTCTCTCTCAAACAGTGGCGTGTTTGATTAGAGAGGCACATCAGTAGATTAATGCGGACCGTGTGTGCGGACAGGAGACGTCGTGTGAAGGTCTAGACTCAGTCACCCGCTTCAGATGGGCAGGCGTCTCTGCGGCCCATGTGCATCTCATCTGTGTGTGTGTGTGTGCATGTCCTACAGTGAATGTACACAATAAACACTTACTGCTTCAAACGCTGCCAGTCGCCGAGCACAACATTCATTTAGCCATCAACCTGTTATGCACCAGACTGTGTGTGTGTGTGTGTGTGTGTGTGTCTGTGTGTATGCGTGAGTGAGTGTCTGTGTGTGTGTCTGTGCGTGCGTGTGTGTGTGTGTGTGTCTGTGCGTGTCTGTGTATGTGTGTGTGTGTGTGTGTGTTTGTGTGTATATGTGTGTGTGTGTGTGTGTGTGTGTGTGTGTGTGTGTGTGTGTGTGTGTGTCTGTGTATGTGTGTGTGAGTGTGTGTTTGTGTGTTTGTGTGTGTGTGTGAGCCCTCAGGAAAGCACTTAGACAGGAATGTGATAAAGTGCGTCTCCTGTATTCTGGTGTTTGTAAAGCCGGCAGGAACTTTCAGGGTTGAAATGCAAGTTCAGAAAAACTGAATAGTTCTGATACTGTCTTAACATATACATATAGCCTAATTTATTCTTAATCATTATATGTTTAGTTTCTATTAATTTTGAAGGCTATATGTTTAATGTTTTTTTATTTGCAAATCTCATTTTATTTATTTGTGAATTTAATTCATGTTTGTGAAACTCTTAAGATTTATTTGTGGATCTCATTCTATTTATTTGGAATTATGCAACAATTCCATCTCCATACATTTACTTTTGGCAACTAGCGTCAAGTTCTCCAGACAGTAAATCGGGGCAAAAATCGAGTAATGTATTCAGCCTTGTGTAATCACAAGCTTACCATTCTCATATGGTGAACGGGAAAATGGGTGAGAAAATCCCTCAAATCTATTTACATAGATCTGAGGTGGACTTGGGACAGTAAACAACCACTTAGCAATCATTAGTACAACCTAGAAACCACCCAAAAGAGTTACATACACTATGGCCGATGCAGATCTCAAATGCTAACAGAGTGTTTTGGTGAATTGTAGATCGGCTCATATTATGGAAGTCAGCTGGCACCGATTGATCTGGACTACGATGGATTGACGGATCTTTTACTTGTCGGAGCTCCCATGTACTTCTACAAAGGGTGGGAGAAAGGCCGAGTTTACATCTACACCATCAACTTACAGGTGACAACATCCTAAACACAACACCATAATGCTTTCTCAAAGAATACGTGTTCATATTCACAGAAAGACTTGGATACTACTATTCACACCGATTGTTTACGCAACTCTCCCTGAATCTACAGCGCCACAGCAAAATTAATTCTAGATATTTTCCGGTTCGCTTATGGTTCAAATTATTAACTGGTTTAACAGAACACAGCGCGACTAGTTTTAATTTGTTTCACAAACGAATGCCTCTTATGAACCTGGTCTTTTAATGAGTCGTTCAAAAGACCCAGGAATTACTAGTTTTAACAGTGAGTTTGAATCAGTGTCTGTTGTTGAATTACTGTTAAGATGTGCATGTTTTGTGTACTCATCGTACACTATAATTGCCGTTCATTTAGCTAGTGTTTGAAATTGTAACGGGGCTGACGAGACGTGAGACGTGCGGATCCATGTGCAAGCTTTATTTCAGAGACGTGGTCATAACAGGCAGGGTCGAACAATGGCAAACAGGTATGTGGCGGGCAAAACACAAGAATAGTCCTAGGACTAGCGTAGATCACCGATCGGGAGACAGAATCACAGGGGCGAGACGAGAGGGAGAAATCCAGGAAAACAGGCAAAGATCAGAAACCGAGAAAACAGGCAAGGCAAGGCAAAACAAGGAAACACAAAGAGACTCGGAACAGGGTACAGGCTAAACAATACTCAGCAGAGAATGGTTGTTTGAGTGAGTGATATGAAACAGCTGTGCAATCAGTGCTGTGTGCAATCAGTGCAATGAATGATGGGAT